AGCTTCAGCGGCCAGAGCCTCGAGGCGAAGCGGTGCTCGTCGACACCGTCTTTGCACTGCGGCTGCTACAACCATTGCTACTGCCACCACTGAGGGCTATACTACCAGCACCACACCGCCGCCACCACTACCACCAACAACAACAACAACTACTACTACTACTACTGCTGCTACTACTACTACTACTGCTGCTACTAGTGCTCCTGCTCCTGCTCCTGCTCCTGCTCCTGTTCCTACTCCTACCACAACAACTACTACTAGTACTACTCCTGCTGCTACTGCTATTACTACTGCTACTGCTGCTGCTGCTACTGCTGCTGCTGCTGCTGCTGCTGCTGCAGCTACTGCTACTGATGTGGCGGCTGCTGCTACTGCTACTGCTACTACGACGACGATTGCTATTCTTACTAATGTTACTACTGCTGCTCCTGCTACGGCGTGACGCATTGCGGGACTACCAGGTTAAGAGAATGAGGAATGCCGTCCATCGTGAGATTGTTAAAGACTAATACAGTAGCAGTAAAAACTGGCACTGTATATCGCTTGTTTGAATGCATACAATTATAGAATTTTTGAGAGGTTGCATGAACGACCTCAGCCTCGATAAGGGAGTCGCAGGCTGAGCTTTGGATCTTCGAGCGGCCCGCCGATGCTGTGAACGCTGCACTAGCAGCTCGCTGCTGAGCAGCAGCAAGGGAAGAGCGCTTGGCCAGAGCTTTGCGATTGGTCGTTGGACCTTGTGCTTGTCTGTTGTTGCTTTCAGTTTTGCGGCTCAAGTCGGGAAGCTTGGGTGTTGGGGTGCCTCAGATGCTGGGCACCCGCTGGTGGTCTTGCATCCTATGTGTACATGCTGCGGAACTTAGCCAGCTCAGGGGCTTGCAAGCTGCAGGCTTTGTTCCGAGGTGCCGGCCTGGCTTTGAGGATGTCTCGAATGGCGAGGCCTATGACTGGGCTTGCGCCTTTCACTGCCCTGGAGGCCCCTTCGCAACTGCGCAGTGTGGCTGCGCCTGTCTTAGCGAGAGCCAGAGAGAGATTCGTCAGAATGCCGAGCCTCTGCCACCTTCAGCTCGGGGCAGTGGCATTCTGCTGACCACCACGCCGGAACCTTCTCCCCCTCCGCCAGTGCCGATCATAGAGCTTCCCATCGGTGGGCTGGGGCAATCGAGCGAGAAGCTCCGACCTCCGCGCGGCCGGAACTTCACGATCTCGGGGCAGGAGACGCCAACCTCAGAGCCAGAGGCGTAGATCAAACAAGCAGGGCTAAGTAGGGCTCGGCTTCAGTGTAACAAGCTCTATAGAGTAAGGATCATCTTAATTATGATTAGGGGTGACGGGGTCCGCTGTTTTCCGCAACTCGCAGGTGGCGCCGCGAGACGGCCTGGTTGACCTTGTGATCCTGTGCTGCAGCCTGGTGTTGCTCTCGGGCTCTGCAGCCATCGTCTCCATTGCCCTCTGGAAGGGGTTTCAGAAGAAGTCTTCGAGCCCCACGAAGCGGAAGCTAGCATGGAGCGACACGCCCCTACCGCTACATCTTCCGAAGGAGAAGTGCCCGCAGCCGTCCAGAGAAGAAAAGCCCCACAAAGAAGCCACTGCAGCCTCGGAACATCCGTTTGCAGTGCCGGAAAAAGGGGATGATCTGCCAGCAGGCCGAGATGACATTGACGAGCTTCAGCTGAGTAGCACCATCACCCAAAAGTGCGATGCGAAAGGCACATACAGCCCTGAAAGGGCTCATAAGCCAGCTTCCAAGAGCGAGCAGCCATGGGGTACAAAGAGACGGCCTTCCCTTCCCCCAGTCGTCAAGATCTCCCATCCTGTTCTTAGGTCCTAGACATTTGTACTGCCGTTGCCCCATTTATTTATTCCCGATCCCTTCGCAATCGCAGGGGCATCAGGGCACCTTTTGTTGGCTGTTTTGCTCAATAATTTTGTACCGTCGTAACTTGGCAGCTTGCAGAGACAAGCGGCAATTTGATGACTGCAGGTTCTGTTTCTTTAGGCCTATTTTGCAACTTCCTTTTTTGCACCTACGTGTGCTGCCTGATCTGGGTCGTACAGTCCTTTCCCTTGATCCAAGAATCAGTCTCCACATGTCGGTCAAGAGACTTTAGTTTATGTCACAATTTTTGACAGATTTTCCGGCGCCGTCCCTGGCCAGCTCCCTTTGCGCTGGGGAAATGCCGCTCGCACAGCCATGCTGATCGCAGAGGAGTTTCCTCTGCGGAGCCCGGAAGGCTCCAAAATTCGAATGCCCTTTGCTCTTGATGTCTTTCGGCCTGGTTGGCGAAGCATGAAGTAGCTGCAGCTTGTACCTTTCAGAAGGAGCAGGAACTCGAAAGCCCTCACTTAGAACCTTTGGAAAAAGCGGCGCGCGGCACCGCAACATTGTCTTGCAGAAATAGCATGTGGGGTGTGGGGTGGCTTCTTCTGGTGATGATGCTGCGCGATGGTGTCAGTGTTTTTGTTTTAGTGCCCCAGCTTTAAGTTGTGGCGGTGGTGGCAGTCGGTGTAGTTGTGGTAGTAGTCGCGGCGGGACAGGAGCACCAACAGCAGCACGAGCAGAAGGTGGTGGTGCTGGTGCTGGTGCTGGCAATTGTGGCGATGGTCGTAGTAAGATGTGGTCGTGGCATGATACATCCTGTCATGGCAATTCCCTTTGCCGTTGTCGGTTGTCGATGTCGTTGCTGCTACTGCTGGTGATGATGTTATTGTTGTGGTGGTTGTTGTTGTGGTTGTGGTTGTGGTTGTGGTTGTGGTTGTGGTTGTGGTTGTGGTTGTGGTTGTGGTTGTGGTTGTGGTTGTGGGGGTTGTGGGGGTTGTTGTGGTGGTGGTTGTTGTTGTTGTTGTTGGTGGTAGTGGTGGTGGTCGTGGTGGTGGTGGTGGTGGTGGTGGTGGTGCCAGTGGCGGGGGCAGTGGTGGTGGCAGATTTTGGTGGTGATGGTGGATGTCTTGATGGTGTTGGTGTTGGTGTTGCTGTTGCTGTGTGTTTCTGAGTTAGCTCGTGTTATTTTGATTTGTTATGTCTGTGTTTGTGTTTTGGTTTTCGTCGTCGATGTTATCATTGCTGTTGTTCTGCTCATTTTTCTTGCTATGCTGAATGTTGCTGCTGCTGCTGCTGCTGGTGGTGGTGGTGGTGGTGGTGGGTGGTGGTGGTGGTGGTGGTGGGATTACAAGTTTTATGGTTGCTCAGATGGTCGTTACAAGAACATACCGAGAACAGCTGTCAGTGGTGTTCTTGTTAGTACCAGGTTCCCGACCTACGGGCTCGCACGCCATTCTTTGATTACTTTTCCTATGCAAATTGTCGAAAGGATCATTATCATGTTGGTGTTGATGATGTGGTTGTTGTTGCTCGCACGATCACTACCACCATCGCCTGCCATCCTACGCAATAAGGCTTGTGACAGCTGAGGAGATGCCTGTCGGGACGCGGGTATTGGGATGCAGGGCTGGGGCGTCGACAGCGGCGACTTGCTCATCATTCCTGGGACGGACGTTCGCTGGGGCGATGCTGTGAATACGGCAGGTAAGCTGGGACAGGTCAGGGACTCACTCGGACTCAGCCGTGGTCTTGGTCTGTCGCATCATGCCCGACGCCACCTTGTTCAGGATCTAGCTGACGAAAACAGCATCCTCATCACGCCCAAAGTGCGGGATGCATGTCGTGGTGACGGGAGCTTGATGCAGCTTCAGATGCCCGGCCGACCAGCGCGGTGGGAGGGCTGTGAAGTGTCTTTGGGAGGCCACTGTTTCGAACCGTTGCACGATCCACAGACAGACAGACCCTCTCTCACACCCTTTGTCCCTCAGTCTCTAACAGCCCCTCCGGAAAAGTGTAGATAGTACCTTTGATATCATCCTCTGACGCCAAGGACGGAAGCGTTGCAGCTGAGCCTTTCCGGTGTGACCTTCGAGTGCTTCCGGGTTTGCGGCACCTGAAAAAACATCCGAACTCAAGCGCATGCACGAGCAGCCTGCTTGCTGACCAAGCCCCCGGATAAACCCTGTACCCTTGGCAAAGAAAGCAGCTAAACCCTAAAAACCCTAAACCCCTTGTCCGAGTTGTGAGAGCATCAACCCCAAATCCTGTCGGAGCGAGTGTGCAGGCACAGGGAAGCAAAAACCATCAACCCATAGAGCCTTAAAGCCCTAAACCCCCTATGAGCTGCTGCCCTGCCGAAGTGCATTCGTCGTACCTGCTAACCTCGCCTAGGCTCGTCCGAGAGTGAGTGCTGAAACCCCAAGCCCCAAAGCCGGAAACTCCGTAAACCCTAAACCCTAAACTTCCCTAACCTGGTTAGTGCCTTCCGCTGTGCGGATTCCCGAGTCAGTACCTGGCAGACGGAAAAGGGCCCTCAAAAAAAAAAAACTTCCCTAAACCCTAAACCTCTAAACCCTAACCCCTAAACTTCCGCCGACCTTAACTGCAAGGTGGAAAAAGGTGCTTTAAAAAAAACCCTAACATCCGTCGAGGCCAGAGGAGCAGATGCCGGAGCCGCAGGTCTCCCTGCGAAGTGCCGATTTGCAAAGCCTCAGCGTGACCCTAAACCCTACCCATAGGCTCCTAAGTAGTTCCTTTTTATGGTTCATATTTAGAATCCTATAAGGTACTCCCAAAAAGGAACTACTGAGGAGAGGAGTGAGAGCGTAAACCCCTAAACCCTAAACCGTGCAGTTTAGGGTCCAGGGGTTACGAAAACGATTTAGAAAAGCTAGCAATTGTCAGCTTATTGTGTTGAGGTTCCTGTAGGATTATTGCTATACTTTTTTTGGTTTATATGCAGGTTGTTGCAAAGTTATGGTAAGATAATGTTGAGGTTGCCATAGGATGATTATCAGGATACTTGTAAGGATAATTTCAGGGGTGCTACAGATCTTGAAGTTCCGCAGTGACTCCGCTTCGTGGAAGGGGCATCGGCGCGGAAGCAGCGTCGGCAGCACCACGCGGCCCAGGCGCAGTGCGCAGCAAGGCCTACCGATGAGTTTCGTAATTTTATGTCTGTCAGTCTCTAGCCTCCCTGAAACCCTACGCGAAACGCGAACCCCCAACCCTAAGCCCTGAACTGATTTCATGACTCGTGCATGTGTCCACGTCTGCGGCATAAAGACCCTTAGGGGGGAGGGGGGTAGTGGGCCTTAATACCCGTAATAGGGAACTAACAATGCCTACTTTAAGGGAGTACCCCTGACACCCCTTAGTCTAGGACATTTTCAGGTGGGTAGTTACTGCTATGGGAGCCTTATAGAAGGTCTATATACCTTATAGAAGCCTTATACAAGCCCTATATACCCTAAACTCCCCACCTGTAGTTTGGTTTAACTTAGGCGTCCCTATGATCTGTTGCAGGTGCAAAGTCCCAAGGCCATGCTGCGACCGCAACAAGCTGGAACGACCTTGCTACGCTCTCTCCACAGGAGAGCTTTCATGTGCTACCGTTTTTGTTCCTAGTACTAGTCTTACTATTAGTATTAACTACTATGATTATCATTCGTCGTATTGTTGTTATTCTGATCATGGGTAAGTTATTATCATTATATATAGATATTATCTGCAGCTGCACCAGGCCGGAATCACTGTGGAATCTGTTGTGCCACTGTGTGGCAGGTACTTCTTGACCGCTTCACCAAAGGCGTGGAAAAGGGTCGCCAGCTGAGGCATGCCGACTTTGCTACAAGTGGGACAATGTTGCTTTCCGTTGGCATCTAGGTCGCTCCTGGTGGGACAATGGCAAGGAAGCACTGTGCATGCCAAGAGCTCAACTTGCATGGCATCTGCCGGAGCAGGTGTTACTGACTTGCCATGTGTCAGTTCCGAGAAGTTTCGAGAACGTGGTCAGGCCCGAATCAGCGCACAGCAAGGAGGTCCGAAAGCCAACGGATTCTTGGATAGCACGAAAATGGAGAGGTCTTGATGGAGCTTGTGAAAAAGCACGACATGCTCACAGGAGGAGGCTTCCCATTGCAGGGGGAATGAAGAAGCACCTCACATGCCACCTCTCCGCAACTCGGAGAAGGATGTGCTGGAAAACAGGCTCTTTCATGACCCCGAAGCCCTGAGCCCTAAACCCAATTCCTCCAACCTGCAGGTCTGAGGGCAAAGAAGATGCACAGTGCCCTCCCGAAGCTCCCGTGTGCGATGGGAAGGTGGGCCCTCTTCGCGGAAGATCCGTCCACATCCTCCAAGTCGTGGAAGTGGAAGTCAGTCTTGCCAGCTCTTTGTTTGAACCCTTTGGCTACGGCTCCAGAGTCCAGGATCATGGACACGGCAAATGACAGCACGCAGAGCTGCACTGCTACAGTAGCGCCTTGCCACGTCTTCGCATCGAGACTAGGAAAGTAGAAGCCTCCTTGAGCGGTTGGATGGGAATGTCATTCGATCAGCAGGGCGATCAGAGTCAGCAACTTGATGAGGGAGCAACTGCCATCATGTTGAGGCGGTTACCATCCAAATTGACGATCGAGAGCTTGCTGGACATCTTAAGCCAGTTCTGGCCAAGCCGCTACAACTTCGTCTACGTCCCCCATGACAAGTCACGGGCGCGCAATGTGGCCTTGGCCTTCATCAATTTCACGGACAGCGAAACGGTGAGGATGGCATACGACTACTTTCAGGGGCGCAGCCATCCGATGGACGTCCGGCTTGGGAGCCACATACGTGTTTCCCAGGCAGATGTTCAGGGTCTCAGTCTCAATCTGGCGTACTTCGTTGCTAGGAGTGGCTTTGCCGATATGGACAATCCCCATGCTCCTCGAGTCTTCGAGAATGGTTGGCGGGTCAATCTGTTGGAGGCTGTGCAGAAGCATGTGACAATGGAACTGATGGCACAGGCAAGTCAACACATGAAAGCAGTCGAAGATGCTCGGGCCAGAGCAGCCAGAAACAGAAGAGACCCTCCGAAGCATGACTCCTGCCATGACACGATGAGAAGAGAAAATGTTCCACATGTGCGAGAGGTTCCCGGGATTCCTTGTTGGCATACAGCCGGAAGGGATGACAGCAGATCGTTAGGGCTCAAAGGCCCTTTCGAAGGATCCGAAGGTGCCAGCAGCTCCTCGAGCCTTTCCACGACAGGGCAGCGTCATCGTGGGGAAGGTCTTGATGAGCTCTTTCATGCGGGCTTAGCGAAGCAGCGACCTGACGGGTCCGTCCACTTTTTTCTTTAGTTCGGCAGGGGCTACCAAAGGCAGTGTGCTCAATCTGGCACCATGGTGTCGGCGCTGCCCTTGGAATGGCCCCCAGTTTGTGTCCACTAGTCAATCCAGTCAGGGTTTCCCTCATGGTTCATTATGCTACAGGTTTTGAAGTCCGGGTTCTGCTTCTCAACTTGGACACAAGCTGCAGGATGGAGCGGTTCTCGTTCGAACAATTCAAAACTCAAAGCTTAAATCCGGTTCAGTTTGCTTCAACCCGCTCCCAGTGTTCTCGTGCGAGCGAATGCCCTGGCGTTCACGGGCAGCTCTCTAAATAAGGGTGCCTTTTCGAGTCGTTTTCATAAGAGAGCCGTATTGGCGACCTAGACAGGGACCCTTATTTTGGAGAACTACCCACACCGTCTCCGGTATAGGAGAACTTCCAAAATCCCAATGGTCGGACCTTTAACATCGTTAGAGTCATAATCGTAAACTCCCACCAGGTCGGAAGCTGCTATCACCGAAGCACGGGTGGTGACACACCACCCCAATTCATTGCAGAACTTTTTGTGATGGATTTCAAATACATTGGCCAGTCAATAGCCAATTCGGCACACACTCTAGGACTGCTAGGCCGTGAAGCGGATGTGAGTATTGGCACTTACATAGAAACATGTAGGAGTTTGCAGTTTACACTTTAACTGGCCATCCGCCCTCCAGTGTCACAGGGTCTCTCTCGTATGAGTGATGTCATCCAAGTTTCTACCGCAGAGACCGCAGGACCTTGTCTGGCAGAGTTCGAGTCAAGCCCCAACCATCAGCTGCCAGAGAATCCAAAACCCAAAACCCTGAACCTCGCCCGGCTAATACCTAGCACGACCGTCCTTTCGAACTCATGCACTTGGAAAAGGCTGTGAAAAAAGCCTCGCCCGGCTTGTCCCAGTTGTGAGTGCGGAAACCCTAGACTTCAGACCATTGTCCGAGTGTGAGCGCCGAAACTTTAAATCCGAGTATAAAGATCACCCTGCGGAGGCCGAGCCGGCTCCCGCCCCTCCGGAGGCAGAGGCCATCGAAAGGTGGGGGCCATCCGCTTGTCATGGTTAGAGAATGTGGCAAAACCTGCCCCAAGATCGTAAAGACTCCTCCCTTACCTCAACCTTCAACCCCTTTCAATCAAAGAAGGCCTGAGCCCTGCTACCCAGTAGCCCCCGGAACCCTGAGCCAGATTTCCCTAAACCCTAAACCCTAAGCCCTAAACCCTAAACCCTAAAGCCCAAACCCTAAACCCGAAACCTAAACCCTAAACTTTTCCGGAAGTTTGGTGCAGGTCAGCCGGGAAGCGCGGCTACCGAGAAGGAGGCCCCCAATGCAAGCTTCGCTAGCTCAGCCCCGTATGCTCGACCCCGCACCCTATAAACCATAATAGAGCGTAACATACCATAATAGACCATAACAGACCATAATAGACCATAATATACTAGAATATATTATAATAGACTGTAACACACTATACTATACTATCTGAACCTCTAAAGCATGGAGTCTACAGATGGCAAAACATCAGACACTGAATCTCATAGAGGCTAATGAGTTGTTCAGCCCCAAACAATGGTGTGAGAGGCTGTGTTGGGCCCACTGCTGCCACGGACAAGGCCTGCGAGGAAGCAGTGGAAAGAATGATATGATAGTTTAGTTTCTGCGTCAGGCTGGGTTCCTCATCAAGGATCAGTTGTTTTCGTTTGCTGAGTCGCGCCATCAGCGAAAGCTGTGTGGATGACCTGCATACCACACCCACAGCTCTCCGAAGCGACCTTTTGATGTACATAACAGAATAAATAGAAACATATAAGTAAATCAACAAGTAAATAAGTGTATATATGTAACTGCCTACAGATCATATGCTTTAGATCATGTATCAGCAAATGCGGTATCATTTCATATCCATACGCGTGTACTATATACCAGATGATTTCATAATATGTATTGTAAGCTCGAAGCCCTGCCTCTTGCCTGACGGGCTTTGCCAGGCCGAGCGCTTGAAAAGCTTCAAGGAGAACCGGGACGTCTTCAGCCGGAGTCTGACAACGGGGAAGTGGGACTTTCCGAAACTAAGCGGGGTACCGTATTGTGGGGTCCTTGTAATAAGGATCCTACTATTTAGGGTACTATATTACTCTGACAAAGGGAAGTGACCAGGACCCTCCAAGTAGCCTCCAATAGAAGTATATGGTCCCAACTTAAGGGTATATAGGGTCTAATCGAGGGTAGATGGAGGGTCTAGGGAAGCATCAGAACACTCTTGGATAAGAAGCGACTCGAAACCCTAAACCCTGAGGCAAGGCTCCACATGCGAGTGTGAGAGTCGAAACCCTTAGACCCTAAACCTGTAACAAAACCCTAAACCCTTAAAGCCTAAACCCTAAACCCTTACAGCCTAAACCCTAAACCCTTAAAGCCTAGACCCTTAAACCCTTAAAGCCTTAAGCCCTAAACCCCGAAAGCCTTAAACCCTAAACCCTTCTTCGCACCAAGAACCTCGCCTGGCATGTCCGAGTCGTGAGAGCGTAAACCCTTCTTGTCCATGTTGCTGGTTACGGCTTAAATAGGGCTAGGATCCTGATGGACTTTGACCCCCTTCGTCTAGTACAGTCTTCAACTGTTGCGCCGATTCATCCTCGCTAGTGGGCATAGTTCCTCAGCCATGCGAGAGGGAAAAAAACCCTGAGGAAAAAAAAGGGAGAAAAACAACCCTGAGGCAAACATTCCAACGGCTTTGCCGGCCAGCAGAGCGACTTGAAGAGCCGAGTCTCCAGGCAGGGGAGAGACTGAAATGCCATTGCGGTTTAGGGTGTAGGGTTTTAGGGTTGTAGGGTTTTAGGGTTTAGGGTGTAGGGTTTAGGGTGTAGGGTTTTAGGGTTTTAGGGTTTTAGGGTTTAGGGTTTTAGGGTTTAGGGTGTAGGGTTTTACGGTTTAGGGTGTAGGGTTTTAGGTTTTAGGGTGTTTTAGGGTTTAGGGTTTAAGGTTTTAGGGTTTTAGGTTTAGGGATTTAGGGTTTGGGCCACCAACGCGCTGCTCCCACCACCGCCGAAGGCTGCCGTCTGGACTCCTGCAGATGCTTTCAGACTTGTTTTTGATGATGTATATACTTCATTGCAGCACATGGCTCATCATGAACTCCGAACTAGATATTATATAGAAAGTATAGCAAACTCTGAACTAGATAACATATAGAAAATATTGCAGCTTTCCTTTTATTTGTTTTTTTAAATTTGATATTATATAGAGAAATATAGCATACTCTGTCTGAACTAGATATGATATAGAAAAGTATTGCGGCTTTCCCTTTTTGAACTCTGAACTAGATAACATATAGAAAAACCCTAAACCCTAAACCCTAAACCCTAAAAGTATTGCAGTTTTCCGTATTTTTGAGCCGCTGTTCTTCGGGGAGGCGTGAGGCCGAGGCGCTTCTGCAGCGCCTGACGGCCGGCCCGGCTTTGGGCCAGGACTTGGACGAGGTGAGGGGTCGAGGGCAGAGAGGGTTTTTAGGATTTTAGGGTTGAAGGGTTGAGGGCTGTAGGGGTTTAGGGTGTTGAGGTTTAGGGCTTAGGGGTTTTGGGGGTTTTGGGGGTTTAGTTCGGATCGGGTACCCGGCACCTGACATTTCTGTACATGTATGTGCGAATGTGCCAAGGTGAGGCGGTTGCGCAAATTGGTCGATGATAGGTCCGCTTAGAATTCATAGCTGCACCTTCATCGACCCCTGTGGCGACAAGCGCCCATAAAGTGGGCGCAGTCGAGCATGTGGATCTGCCGAGAGGAAACGAGCTAAGTGTAGATGAGCGGCTGCACCTTGTCCCAGCGTTATACCGTATTGCAAGGGAAACCAGTTCAGCGAGTTGCTTTCATTGGTATCTGCAGGCTGCGTCAGCCCTTCATGGATCAGCCATTTTGCTCTCTTGCATTCGTTGGCCTCATTAATTTGTACACGGTGTCTCATTCCTTGTTGTTTGGGTTCCTCCTTGTTGATTCGATGTGACGGCTGCTCGCCACATGGCAATGGACTGCTGGCTTCATGCTGCCTCTATAGCCATGTTGCCGCACCCTGCATCGCGAGACTGTCCTCTTTGCCACAATCTGTCCGTTTGCACCTTGACTGATTCATTGCCTTGTGAATTAAGTAACGATGGAGGCTGCCGTGCATAACGGAATCAACTCCAGTTTGCTATGAGACTGCTGAGCAGCCTCCTTGCAGGAGGACGCGTCTGGGCCGTCACTCGGGAATTGCCTCACTCAGTGCTTATGCCTGCCCAAGGAACGTTTCATCATAAGCTTCGCCGACATTCGTTTGTCATCGCTGCTGGCAGCACTTGTCAGCAGCCGATTGTTTGGAAATGACGATGTGGTCCTCCCATCAAAGAGGCCGACACCTTGGCAGACCCGTGACAGTCGGTGGCTATGTGTAATTTGTCGCAGGTAGTTAGACTTGCCTCTGAACTCAGGTGGCCGTCAGAGTAGATATTTCGGATCTTGTGCCTTGCCTGGTTGTGGCCTCTCGGGCACAGGTCTGTAGCCAGAAGACAAATCTGCACCAGCGCCACTTTCATGCATCGTCAGGTTGCATCACTTGAACCGTGTCTTGTGTATGCCCCAGTCACAGTCACGCAGATGCTTGGCTTAAGATAGCCGCAGTTCCATTTGCGACGGGCGCAGCATCATTTCGGAAAGATCAGTGGCAGAGCTTGCTATTGTGGCTTCATCCGAGGATGCGGATGATTGATTTGGGCTGGTGCGAGTCCTATGTGGGAAGACAAGGCAATTGACAGCACCAGTCGTGTAGCAGCGGTGGTGAGGAGGAGTATCGCAGTGTCTTTGTTTTCGTGGTGGTGGCGGTGGTGATGATGGCGGTGGTGGTGCTGGTGCTGGTGGTAGCAGCAGTAGACACTGTAGTAGTCGTCGTCGTTGTCGTCGTTGTGGCAGTGGTCGTCGTTTCGTGGCCGGCGTCGCCGTTGTCGTCGCAGTGTGATGTCATTGGTATTGTTGTTCGTTTGGTTCGTAGTTAGGAACTAGCTGCTGGTAGCTAGTAAGTAGCAGTAAGTACCAAGCAATAAGTAGGAGTACTAGTGGTGGCAGCAGAAGTAGTGCAGTAGTAGTTGGGGTGTTGCTGTGATCGGACTAGGACTAGGATGAGTATGAGAGGTTGTACCCGTTGCCTGGGGACGCCCAGCTTCCTTTTCCTTTGCTTCTTTCGCTCTCGGAGGCCGTGGATTGCTATTAATACTATGCTGTTGCCTTTGCTTTCCTTATGGTTGCTTCCTCTTTTCTCGCACCACGATTATCTTCTCGACTGTTGTGATGGAAAATTGCTGTTGAGATGCTTGTGGCCCTGGTCAGTCGAGGTACGCTTGTCATCCAACCAAGACCGGGCTGCTCCTGCCAGCGAAGCAGTGGCTTTTCTCGGATTGCTTCGAGACTTCCGGGCGATTCCAGCCAAGCTTTCTCTTGCCGAGCGTTGGATTGGTCGTGTGCTTGAAGTTCCTCAAAAAGCTTGTTCTGAATAGCTTTTCGGATCTGCCTGCTTCGTTTTCTTTGGATTTTATCTGGAGCTGGCCCTGCCGTGGGCACAGCATCTTGCCTTCCCCAGTAATGGAAAAGCAGTTTAAACGTTTTGACCGTCATGGCATCTGTCAGAGGAATCGGCGGTGCAGCCATGCCGCCTGCAGGACTAGAGCTCCAGAGATCCTCTCGGACCTACGCCCAAGAGTACATCAGTCTTGAGATTATCTAGCTCAGAGTAGCCCAATCATGCGAGATTCGCTCCGACACTTGCCTCTGCTTTGAGCCGGCAGACATTTTCGACTACAAAAAAAGATTCTGGGCTCAGTAAGAGCGCGCCAGAATGGATGGTGCAAGACCTCTCCAGCTTCGTGGGGGTAGGGTCTGCTCCTGCCCGGATGCAATTCTGCAGCTGCATGAGATTACCGGTTCCTAACTGCACCTGGTGTGCCTTCGCATCACTCCGGAGCCTGAAGGTTTGAGCTGAGCTTACTTCACGAGGTTGGTTGAAGAGTCGCGGGCGGAGCTGTTAAGAGGTGCAATGTGACATCATCTTTGCAGGCATCGGGGAAAGCTGCCTGGAGTGTCATCCTCGCTGAAGGGAACAGTCTCATCCGCAAGCCGTCGCAGCTTCCCTCCGCCGATCCTCGGAAGTGCAGCATTAGAAAGTTGGACGACCTCGGGCTTGTTTCGGGGCATCCTGCCTGAGATTAGAATACATGGTTTTGGGGTCATATTATAGTGTAAACATAATACGACCCCAAGAACAAACATGTGAGTAATTCTGCTGGCAGGAGCACCTCGCAAGTACGCCTGCACGGGGTTTGCTACACCCTAAACCCTAAACCACATAGCCTTGCCAGCTTGTGCGAGTGCGAGAGTCGAAACCCTAAACCCTAAAAGGATAAGGCATGTTTCCACCGCCAAAGCCTTGGCTTCGAAAACTGCTACAACGTGCCCATGCTTCGGCGGGGGCGTCAGGGTACTCTTGCATGGGCTTCTCTGGGAGGATTGTAGTGATGGAGTGCCTCCCTTTCCCCTTGGCTGTGCAATCTCTATAAAGCACAAGGCAAAACTCCAATCTGAAACCAGAGTCAAAAACATGAACCCAGAAAGCCCTAAGCTCTCGGGCTCTCTTCCACAGCAGTTCAGTCGGCCACAGTTGAGACCCTTTCGGTCGCGAGACGCTGCCCTCGCAACTCGATCGTTGGCCTAGCCGTCGCCCATAAGAATCCTACCGCTCCCCGGGTCTCGGGCTGCGAAACCGACTCGAAACTCTTTGGCCTTTGCAGTTGTTGCGGCGTCGCACGGAGATGGCCAAAAGGGCCTTGGAGCTCCCCCTGAGCCCGTTCACAGACTTCCTGCTGTGCAGGGCCAGAATCACTTCTGGAGCCTGGCGCGTGCAAGTTTGCAGAGGCCGGCGACCGATGACCGATGCGGAAGAATCGCATGCCTGCTTGCATCTAGCTTGAGTCCGCCTGTGGATATGACGCGCTGGGCCAGACTGTTGACTCAAATGCGAGGGCGTCCTTGATCATCCATTTGTGGCGCTCACTGCCTGCGGGATTGACGGCTAGCTCCGTGTCATCCCGCTGCAGACACGCATGTGCAGATGAGCCTGCGACATTTAGACAGTTTGCAAGTCCATCACTCCGAGGCTCAGATGGCTGCAGGGAGCCAGGATGACAAAGCTACGTCCTATTTGTTCTTGTGGAACCAGGGCAAGGCATCGGGTTTCGACTGTGAAGTACGGCTGCAAATCCCGGCTGATGCCGCCTACCTGCGGCCTGAAGGTGTTCCGGGGAAGCGTGACCTGACAGACTGCAACCCTGAGTTCAGAGAATCTAGAGACCGTCCCTGCAGCATGGCTTCCGAGCCCACAGATGATCAGCGTATTCTCGGGTCTTGAGCTTCGAGAAGGTTGCCCAAGATGCACAGTGCTCGGTCGGCTTGAGGTGGCAGGGCATAGCCCCTTTCTTCACGTGCCCCAAGTTGCGTGCCCCAAGTTGTGCCATGTGCTCAAGCCTCCTTTGCATCTGGCTTGATGCTGTGTCGCCTACTGCAGTCAGTGCCGTTGTCTTGCCGTGTTGTTGCCCATCTTCTATACTCTACACACCCCTGTATCCACTGAACTACGGCTGCATGCAGTGAATGCAGTGCGAGTGTCTGTCTGCTGGGTACGGACAGCAGTGACAACATTGCGCGGCGACACCTCCCGCCAGCCATGCACATCTATTGTCGGAGAGATGCTACCAAAGCTCCAGCTGTCGTGATTGTTTCATTCTGCAGCTGTTCCGGGTCTGTGCATGTTGCATTTGGCCCTGTGCTGGCAAGCTTGCGACAGCACGGCCCTGCGTTCAAAGCAGTTTTCTTCGAGTTTTGGGTCAAGGCTTCTAGGTCTTGCAGCTCAGATACATCTGCAAAGGCCATGGGGCATGTCTTCCAGTGCTCTAAAGGAGCTCAAAAGCTGAAGGCACGGTCCCAGGATGTTCCTCGGCGCCTTTGGCGACTCGGTGGCCAGAGCAACATCTGTAGTTCTCTAAGGCAGGGGCCCCTTTTTAGCCCCCCCAAATATAGTACGCCGCCCTTCTAAACAGACCCGAAATGGGCTAATGTAGAGAGCTACCCGAATAAAACAAGTGCCAAGGCTGCCACAACTTCTGCAGAGCTCTAGAGAACGAGCACGTCCCAGCGTGGAAGCCGCCGATGCTCGAAGCCCTTAGCCGCTGTTCCAGCGCAAAGCCTCCAAGCGCTGCAGTTGATGTAGCATCCTTATAGCAACCCTTATGGTAGCCCTGTAAGGAGGCCTGCTCTGAATCTTCTTTCCAAGCGGCTTGGGAGGCCTTAGAACACGTGGACCTGTCAGCTTGGAGGTGCAAACTACCATATTAGCTTTACGGGCTCTGAGATCCGCTATCACGGCGACCTGTTTAGTGGAAGGGCCAGCTTGCATGGGTGGAATGGTAGTTCAGTCTGCTTGTCAAGCCTTGACTTTCCAGCCTTGCTGGCTAGGGCTACTAAGGCTGGGGGCAGTGTAATGTTGTCCCAAAGCCAAGGAGAAATTTGTGGATGAGGAACGGTCGTGTCTGGATGCGCGCTTGCTCGTTCAGAGCTGTTCGACATGAATGGTGCTTGTGGTGGTCTTTTTGCCGGGCAGACTGTCGCCACTGCTTCACTTGG